GGGGGGGGGGGGCAGACCTCCGCGATTCTCCTGAGGGGGAGAGACACAAGCTCTGAGCTCCGGGAGCCCCAGTCTGGGGAGGGGAGACACAGCCCTGCCCTCAGGGAGCCTCAGCCTGAGGGGGGAGACGCAGCTCAGAGTCTGGTGGGGGAGGCATGGCCCTGCATTTGTAGAGGAGGATGAGACGGTAGGTGTGATTCTCCCCAGACGTCCTCCCTCAGATAGCTGGCCTGAGGCGTCATAGCGTGATGTGCCCTCAGGCCTCCCCTGCCCTCCAGCCCGGCCAAGGCCCCCTGTCCGCCCCTGCCCCCATGCGCCTCCTTCCCTGTTGCTAACCAGTGTCCATCTGGGTCCTGTTCCCTCCGACACTTTCCCCACTCGGTAAGGACCCCATCCTGGACTCCTGAGTTGCAGCAAAACAGACTTCCCCGAGGAGTCACTGCCAGGTCCCTGCAAGGAAGGAGGGGGAAGTTCTGGAAGATCATTAAGGCCTCAAAAGCCAAAAGACCAGCTCTAAGGGGGAGGTATCTCAGGCAGTGAAAGGCTGGGAAGGGGGAGTCAGGCTGCTGAGCCCGGAAGTTGCTCCTGCCCCCGTCAAGGCTTTCAGGCCCCTTAAATTCTGCCCCAGGACATTCCTGTTACCCACAGGTCTGCCAGCTCCTGGGGCAGGAGGGCCCCTTCAGAGGTTCTTTGCCTGACTTAAATCACTGGTCCCTGCATTCCTGCCCCCGCCCCCACCCCAAAGCCTGGCGCTCAGATCCCATACCCCACCCAGGGGTGCACCCCACTCTAGGCCCCCTGCTTAGCTCAGATGGACCCATGCGCTGGGAGGGAGAGATGAAGGCACTGGGCCATGTATCCCACAGAGGGGAGGGCTGACTCCAGAAGGACCGGTAGCAGGAAGCGTGGGGTGGGGGGTGCAGAGGCATTTCTGGAAATCCACATGTATTTTCAGAAGCAAACAGAAGTAAAAATAAACCCAGGTGACTTTGCAGGGATGGAGGCCTGGGAGCTCTGGTCATCTCTGGCTGGCCAAATGCAAGTGGGTATTAATAGGGCTGTGGGTGTGGCTTTTGAGCAGCCCCCGCTAGATTAATGTGCCCTGGCGGGTGGGGGGCTACAGCAAATTTGGGGGACCGGGAATATCGAGAGTTGGGAGATGCTGAAGGAGGGAAGTTATGGGCTCTGTGGCCTGGAAACATGTTTGTCCCTGGCAGCCCCAGGCTGTCCCACCCCAGCTGGCTGCCTCCTGCACAGGCCCAGCAGCCACTCTCAAGCCCTGTTGGCTGTGTCCCACTTTCCAGCATCACAGACTCTTACTTGCTGTGCAATCCCGAGCAAGTTGCTTGCCTCCTCTGTGCTCCAGTCTCCCCGTCCCACCCCACCCCCCCGCCCCCCATGGGAAGCCCTGGGTTGGGGGAATTCTTCCCAGTCCTCCTTGGTTTTCTCATCCCTGAGCGTCTCCTGTGGGCCACGCCCTGTGCTGGGCTCTAGGGTCCCTGATTTGATTACGACCAATGTCACAGTAGGACTGTGACACCCTCCATCCAGGAGGGTGTGGAAAGCAGCTCTTTGGAGGCCCTGGGCTTTTGGCACCGGAAGAGGTGGGGTGGAGAGGGCTCTGCTGGCCCAAGTGCAGAGGAGTAAGGGTGTAAAGTGATGTGTGTGTGTGTGTGTGTGTGTGTGTGTGTGTTCGCATGTGCACACATGTACATGTGAAAAGGATCCAAGAGATGTGGTCGTGGGATTAGGGCCGGGTGACACGAACCCGAGAAGATCCAGGCTGGGTAGATGTAGTTCCAGGGGCCTGAGTCAGATACGGGGCACGTACTGTGCAAGGACAGACGTGTTCCTGGGGGCAGGAGTGGGTCTGGGGGAGCATGCTGGGCCTGTGGGCAGGGGTGGGCCCAAGGGACAGTCAGGGGCTACAGGAACAGGTATGGGTTGAGAGGGGGGCGGCCATGGGCCTGTAGGCAGGTGTGGGGCAGGG